GTCAGGTGCTGCGCTTGGTGTGCATGAGCAGGTCCCGCTGCAGGCCGGCCTCAAGCGTCGCTGCCCTTCCCGAGGGCAAGTCCGTGATGAGCGTAAGCTTATTGAAGACGCCGCGACCGAAGTAGTCGGCAACAACAGAAAAGCCATCGTTGGAACACTTGAGCTGCCAGACACAAAGCAGCCGTATCAGCTAAAGCCTCACGGCCCTGCCCCTTCACCTCCCTAATGTCTAATGTGTCTAATACACAGCAGCCCCCGTCACTCCTTGGCTACTGTACTAGTTCCACGCGAGTACTGCCCAAGCAGCTTCCTCCGCTCAGGTTTTCTGCCCCTTGTTTCAATCCCACGTTTGTGCCATGCACTGAAGAGGCAACTGACAATTCTCAGGAAAGCGACTGCCTCTGCTTCTCCAGTTTCTACTCACATGAACATGCTCTAGCTAAGGCCCCATTCCCAACTTCACCCTTGGAAAATGCGACACTCTTGGTGTACCCCAACTGCTCTGCCCCAGCCCTGTTCTGATGCGACCGGCCCAACTCTTTTTCCCTTTCTCCTTCCATTTGTTCTATACAGCCAGAAGTTGTATAGAACAGAAGACACACTGACAACAGCTCTCCAGGTTGGAAAACACCCTTAAGATAATAGAAAAGTCCAACTTGACCTGTTTCAAGGTCAAGTGAGAATAGCTTCTCTTTCAGCTCTGGAGAGCATCAAGGATTCTTCATGCTCTGTGCATAACGCAGTCACCCCAGGGTCTCATTATCTGCAGCTGACACAACCTTGTCCACAAAATGCTTTCAGCCTTACCTTACTCTACCAGCCTCTGGAGATCTGTAAATTAAATCTGTAAATCTAAACCCTATTTATTCAAACTTGGTAAAACAGACAATGTTCCACTACCTGATGCTGAAACTGGTCGTGCAGATCTCGCTTCTGCTCCTGGGCTCGGATCATGTCCATCACTTTGCGATTTTCTGGCATGCACGTAGGACATTCCGAGTCACTCTCTGAGTAGCTTTCAAAGCAATGCTGATGGAAGGAATGACCGCACAGGAAGTGGACTGAAGGCAGCTCGAGGGCACTGGTGCAAATGCTACACTTGGTCTTCTGAAAGATCTTGGGCCTGCAAGAGTGAGAGGAGGCAGAAGGGTGAGGAAGATAAAGTGTCTTTTTATCCTTAATAAAAGGACAGTTCTGTCCTATGTAAGAAGAGTAGGCACACGGTCCTGCACCTTGCTTTTAGCTCCTCAATCTCCTGGCGGATCCTTGTCGTTTCTTCTCGGTATTTGTGAATTCTCTGCTCATCCTGCTCTATCTGGCGGCTCTGCTTCTGCAGCTTGTTGACAAGATAATCCTTAATCACAGACAGTGTGGCTGTGGAGTTATGAGCCAGCGTCTGCACAACTGAGAACAGCCAAGAAGTTAGTTTAAACACCAGCAAAAACACCCGCAACCACATTAGTCATACCTGGACAGAAGGCTTTTCTGTAGAAGGCCGCTTTTACAGGCAAGGGCAGTCAGCATCCTCACCGACCCAGAGAGCTCATTTAAAGAGTCGATTGCAGTTTGACCTCTTTCAGAAATGGGTAACTGGGAGCATGTTTGGATAGCTCAGACCAAAGGGGCAAAGCAAGGATCTAGTGGACTGGATTCCACTCCAGTTCCTCCACCCAGGCGCAGCAGGAGTTTCAGCAAGCCCTCCACCTCCCCACGCTGCCAGAACAGAAATCAGGTACAAACATCTGTGACCGACACCACAGATCGTTTTTCCTAACTAGGGAGCTGTGACCAGCATAGCTTCTCCCCGTAGGGCAGGTTATGACTACAAATGGTGGGCTCAAACTTTGTTGATACTTCTCTCAAATTTCTAATCTCCAGAGAATGCTATAAGCTAGTTTAGGGGTCATTTTTTGGCGGGGGAAGGTTGGGTGCCACATGTCATCATTACCAAGCAGCGGAGGCATAAGATTCTTGTTCTCGATGTGTTTCAGCACTGCAGCAATATACTCTTTGCAGTCCTCCTCCTTCCGTGCAAAGTAGCCAAGAGCCTGTTCCCACAGACAAGCCTCTTGGTCTCCGTACAGCTCGCACACCTCGATCACCTTCTTGTACTGCTCATTCTGCATGTGGTAGTGCATGATCTGTTGGAAACTACAGAGTAGGGAGAAAGAGTATCTTGAGATACTAAAGAAGTTGTTACCATTGCATCGTAAGGCAGGGACGTTTATGGCTCAGAAATTCCCGTGGCGGGGAGTGGGTAGAGGGACAGGACTCCACAGACAAAAGCAACACTCACAGTTTGCCCTGCTCGTAGAGGTAGAGGACACCATCCTTGAAATTGTGCATCTGACATAAGACCAAGGCCTTATCAAAGACTGTTTTAAACCTTCCGCTCTTCAGGAGGGTGAGGGCTTCATTGTGCAGCTTCTCCTTGATCTACAGAGAAGAGGGAGAGGTCATGGAGACCAACGTGCGCACAGAGAACATTTTGCTCTAAGACCCAACAAGAATGTGCAGCTCTTTCAAAGAAGAGGATAGTTTTGCCGTTTGCCCTCTATCCTTTCTAAGCAAGCAGGACGTGCTTTCTTTCGCCCAACAGCCAGTATCCTCAGGGATCCAGGCAAGCAAATAGAGCTACTTTTGTGGGAGAGGCATCTGCCCACAGAGGTTGTATTGTCTGGAATCTGTTCTAAAATGAGATTCATACAAAACAAGCTCAGCCTCACTGAAAGGAGTATTCTCCCGGCAAGCAGGCTGCTTTCACATCCCCTTTGTCCAGCACAACGTTATGTATTGCCTCGTGTTATCAATGCCCACCTGGGGAGGTTACGGGTTGGCAGGAACACAAGTAGGATTCAAAGACACCAAATCTCCCTCTCAAAACACAAAGCTGGAGGAGCTCAAACCTGCTCATCTTGTTCATGTGCCCAGTTCTGGAGTCGAAGTTCCATTAGAGTGTCGTAGACACCCTGTGGAGAGTCAGCCTGCACCTCAGTCATGTGCTCCAGAAAAGCCTTCAGTTCTCGGGAGTTATTTGCAAAGACCGGAATGAACTCCTCCGAATTAGCCTGTAACACAGCCAGAACAAGGCAAGCAGCAAGCTCAGTCTCAGCCAGACAGGTGCTTCTTCCCTGCCATGTGGAGCACTCATTCCCAGAGCCTGTGGCACAACAGATACAGCACAGGACGGGAATAATTTCCGAGCAATAGTTTTTAAGTGGTCTCTGGAACTACCGGTACATCAGGACAGGGCTTCTCACAGAACAGTTTGGGTTGGAAAGGACCTTCAAAGGCCACCTAGTCTAATGCCCCTGCAGCAAGCAGCGCCATCTTCAATGAGATCAGGTTGCTCAGAGCACCCCATCCAACCTGACCTTGCACGTTTCCAGGGATGGGGCATCTATCACCTCTCCAGGCCATGCGTTCCAGTGTTTCACCACCCTCAGCGTAAAAAATCTCCTCATATACAGCTAGTCTAAATCTACCCTCTTTTGATTCCAAACCATTACCTCTCATCCTGTCCCAAGAGGCCCTGCTAAAAAGTTTGTCCCCATCTTTCTTAAAAGCCCCCTTTAGGCACCGGAAGCTGCTCTAAGGTCTCCTGGGAGGCTTCTCTTCTCCAGGCTGAACAAGCACTCTCAGCCTGTCCTCCTGGAAGAGAGGCTCCAGCCCTCTGATCATTTCTGTGGCCGCCTCTGGACCTGCTCAAAAGGTCCACCTCCTGCCTGTGCTGAGTGCTCTGGAGCCAGACACAGCACTCCAGGTGGGGGTCTCACCACAGTGGAGTTTATTGAGGTGCATTTCTCATTATTCCTAAAGCATCAGGCCTGCAGCACAAAGCATGCAGGAGCACTCACTTGCTGTGAAGCTACTACTCAAGAGCAACGGCTCCCAGTCAGCACAAACTGTACCTTTCTTCCTTCCAGCATCCCAGGGCCTTCACTGTCTCCCAGTGGCCGGTAATCAGTGCAAAGGACCTTCAGCAATTCTGTGGTCTCGTTAGGGACATGGTGCATCAGGATTTTTCCATACCGCTTCATGTTGCTCTCTGCTTGCTCAAAAGGCAGTTTTCCAATGTAGTGCAGAGCCTCTTGGTAGTTCTGTGGAGGGAGGCAGCCAGCAAAATCACTGTGTGACATTGACCTCTACTCTCCACTTCAAGGTCAGGACAGAAAGCATTTAAGACATGCTGCAAGTACACCACAGACATGGTTTGCTCTGAATTACCACCTAGTTCACTATTCCTGCTTGTTTTCCTCCCCAGGGAGGAAGACTGGCTGTAGTCCAGGGGAAAGACTGCACGATTTACATCAATCTCTAACAACCCTCTCTCCTCTTACAGGCCACTGTAAAAAGCCTCATCCAAAACAGAATAAAAAAGACCCTCTGATTTCCACCCCTGGTCTACAACATGTGCTGAAGTGGAAAGCCAACACACAGGCGGTGGCATCAGGCATTGCTCCACGGAGAAGAGGTCAGCACAATGGGATTTGCAGTAAAGAGAAGGCTACAGAAGTGGCAGTCTCCCCAGTAGAGAACATGAGAGCAATACCCTCCCCTCACCTTGATATCCTCTAGCTGGATTTTGAGGTACCATTCATGATGCATGTGCTTCTCTGCTAGGTACACAGCGTGGGAGTAGTAACCCGCCTGACGAAGCACCTTGATCGCTGTTTCCACATCGAAGCAGACCTCACCCTCGCTCGTCTACAAGAAAAAAGGCAGAAAGATGCTCCCTCAGCAACATCGTGATGGTCCACAAGCAGCGATCGTGTACGTCAGAGGAGGAAAACCAGAGCAGGGACAGCTTAGTACTTCTCGCGAAAGGGAAAGGTCACACGTGCGGAAAGGAAGTAGCCTACCCACCTCTCAGGAGCTTGCCAATCACACTGGCAATGGCCAGCACGCTCCAGACTCAGGTGGACAGTCAGCCACACCAAGTACCGAGGGACAAATCCATTCTTCACTCTCTCAAAAAGACCCACAGGAGCCAATTCACATTGTCAGTGCTACCCCTTTTTAAATATGATGACAACATCACAGCTTTGCACGATTCCACCTTCCCCCGATACCTTGATGAACTCTTCCAGTTTGGAGCTGTCTTTGAGCTTGGTATAGCAATTCAGCAGCAGCGTAGTATGGTCTGCATTGGCCAGGGACTGCAGGTGGAGAGTCTGCAGGTAAGCGGTGAGGTTGTGGATACGCTGAGCATCCAGGAATTTCCGAATAACATAAGATGGTTCCAACTTCCCTATAGTTCTGGGATGGGAAGAGCCACCTTACAAGAGACCGTATACCCAGGACACCCAAAATAAACAGAGAAATTAACAACCAAGCATGCAGAAGCCTTAACTTCAGCAGGCACTAACCCTCTACTTGGGACCACTCAGCTACGTATCAGAAGTAACAACTAGTTATGGTGTAAGACCACCCATCTGCACGCACAGTGAGATGACCAACCCTCTACAAAGGCCACGACTGGGACGACTTGTTTTGGTTCAATTCCTGGGCCGAAACAGAAATCGAGGCCCCTGTAGCTCCTGCCTGTACTACAGCATCCCGCTCACCGGATATACTGCTGGATGGCCCCGTCATGGTTCCCCTTGTTATACAGGTGATCTCCATACTGCCGGAAAATCTCTGACAAGCCATCGCTGTCCAAGTGGTGGCTCTTGGCCAGGTTAATGGCCATTTCAAATAAGTTCTTTCTGAATAGCATCTGTTAAATAGACGGGAAGAGCAGTATGAGGGAAATACCGCCCTGCACAATCTCGCAGGCATAAGGCAGAGGCTAATAACAAAACAGATTTACATGCCTCAAGTTTGGTTTGCGTATCCTTCTCCTGCAGCACATGAATCTTCCCATCTCTGGTCAGTACATACAGAGAACCCCACTCTGCTAAAACATCCACTACATCATCAAAGATTGAGCTGTACGCAATGAATTTGTTGCACAAGTCATAGATATTCAAGACTTGTTTGTCCGAGTTCTGTGCCTCATTCCCAGCAAACTCTGACCTGGAAAGCAGAAGAAAGTTTCAGAAAACTTGAACTTCAAGTTACTTCAGTAACTACAATTCTTGATACCTTTGCAAACTGGGGATGTTCAGAGAGCAAGACAGTTGGGGTTCACTTGGGCGATTAAGCTAAGCAGACCCAGAGGCAAGACACCACCTATTCATACACAAATTCTATCTGTGTGTTACACTGAGAAATTCATGGGACTGGAAAAAAAAACCCAAGCCCCACTTGGTCAGCATGCTGGACTGTGCTGCTCCACACTGCATCTTAACCCATATATGGGTCTGGACGAACCTTAACAACCTCTGAAAAAGTTGCCATTGGCCACCAGGAGGGAAGTTGCAGAGGGAGGAAGGGTAAAAAAAAAAGGGAAAATGGGAAGCTGCAAGAGCGAAAATAACTCATCTGTTCTGAGGATTCCTACTTTGGAGAAGTCTTTCGGTCCTTGGAGACAATGATGAGGTACCCCCGATACCAGTGAACAATCAGCTTTTGTCCCTCAAAGGCAAAGCAGGGGCCACGTTCGTCTGGCTGATAAAGGTACACACATTCATTTCCTGCCACAATGAACTGGAGATCCTGGGATGGGTCACTGAGAGACGAGCAGCGCAGTCCACAACCGTGAGTGTCCAGCTCCAGGTGAGGATAGTCTTTTGCTGAAAGCATATAAGACTACAGAGGAAACACACGGTTTGGGGGATTGCTCTAAACTAGACTCCAAAACCAGAGTCTCGTTTTTTCCAGTTAAATTCCCACCTGGATGTTCTCTGTGGTAACCACAAACAGATGCGTTGTTTTGCCAGACTGTCGGAAAGCAAGGCCAGTAACAGGGTAACTGCCTTCATGGAGGATCTGGGTCTTACTATGCCGGTCTCGAGTGATGTCTCCTTTTGTAAGTACCACGCTCCCATCTGCAAAACCTGGTGAAGGGGACAGACCAAACTGTTACTTACACGGCACAACTGAAATACCATCCAGCCTGAGTTTGGGCAGCTCCCGTCAGCGACAACACATTGCTCACCAGCAAGGTATTAAGTTTCACTTGCTTATTGGAAGCATATTGTACGCTGTAATGAGACCAGAGGGAGATTTCCTCGGGGTGAGTAAATCAGCTTGCTGACAGCCCCAGTCCTATTGCAAAGGAACAATTAAACCCAAAGAGGGAAATGTTCCTTTTTTTGTTTGAACAAAGGTTTCTGCACAGGGCTTGGGGTATCACAAACCCTGTGGTGGTTTCTTCCTGTACTACAACAAAAGCTACATTTAGTATAAGTTCAATAAATGTGTCACCTTAATGACTGGCATGGAAAGATGACATCAGCTGAAAATACGCGTTTCCCTTTTAACTATGAAAGTTATTACTGTCACATGTACAGACTTGGGCTAACATTAGGCACTTGTCCTCTCCAGCTCTCTGACAGCACAAGATAGGCCATATCTCCACAAGAGTAACATAAAAATGGAGGGAGCAGAAAAGCCAGGAGGATGTTCTATGCTGGCGTTTGTGCCATCCATTCATTTTCTCTACACCTGAAAAAGGACCGTAACACTTTTCTTAAGCTACTTCAGTTTTACTCACCGATTGCCATGAAATTAAGATTCTCGTGGACAGTGAGGCAGGATACAACTGTGGGCTTGTTACCTGGTATTGCTGGAAAAATTCGTGTGCAAAGAGGATTGCCACCATCTCGCTTCTCCAGGTTCCAGACCTTAACCTATAAACAACAACAATACGCTGGCATAAGCAAAATGTGAGGTATCAGGAGGCCAAAACTTGGCATCAAATATAACCATGCTCACAGTGAGCAAGGTGCCTGAGGTGGGAAAAGGGAACCGAGGTAACCGCAATAGCCTTAAGAAAGACCCACAATACAAAAGAGTTTCCCCCTCTTTGCCATTTGACTTACCAAGGGGTTAATGCCCTCTTCATCCTCACCCACAGAAACCAAGATACTGTGCTGCTTCAGCTGGTACAGATGCGTTACCCTTAGCTTGTAAGCCTGGAAACTACTGAGTTGAAGGGAGCGAGGCAAAAACCAGATCTGACCTTCCATATGTAGACAGCAGTTAAGGCACACAAAGGGCAAGAAACCCAAACCCCACAACTCTCAACGCACCAGAGTCAAACCCCGAACGCTCGCTTCTCGCTGACCCCTGCCAGGGCTGC